ACGGGAAACCTTAGTACTTTAGAGCGTAACAATATATATGTATGTATATATGTATGTATATATATATATGTATATAATCTAAAAATCGAGCTAATGAATGACCCCCGGGGCGGGGCCAATTTTGACACCCAGGGCTCTTATTTGAACGACCATGGTAGACATCCATTAGAACATGTTTCATGCTAAATATCTTAGCTCTAGCTCTTTGGGTTCTTTCAAAGAATTTTTTTTTAAGTTTTTACTATATGCATTTATAGGGAAAATCAATGACCCCCTGGGGCGGGCCAATTTTGACCCCAGGGCTTTTATTTGAACAAACTTGGTAGACACCCATTAGACAAGATGTTTTATGCTAAATATCTTAGCTCTAGCTCTTTGGTTTTTTAAAGAAGATTTTTTAAGTTTTTACTATATACATATAGGGAAAATCAATGACCCCCAGGGCGGGGCCGATTTTAATTCTAGGAACAAAATTTTGAACAACTTTTGTTTTGGATCTATAGATGATACCATAGACCAAAATATCAAAGCTCTAGGCCATTTACTTTCAGACCATAAGATTTTTCAAGTTTTCACTATATGTATAATAACGAAATCAATGACCCCGAGGGCGGGGCCAATTTTGACCCGAGGGCCATTACGATTTGAACAATCTTGGTAGAGGTCTATCACCACAATATTTCATGCCAAATAATCTTACCTGTAGCCTTTGCCAATTCAGAGAAGAAGATTTTTTTATGTTTTATTATATACATATTAGAAACCTATGACCCCCGGGACGGGACCAATTTTGACCCTAGGGCCATTATTTCAACAATCTTGATAGAGGTTCTACTACACAATGTTTCATGCCAAATATCTAATCTGTAGCCTTTGCCAAATCAGAGAAGACAGATTTTTTTAGATTTTACTATATACATATAAGGAAAAACCTATGACCCCCGGGGCGGGGCCAATTTTGACACTAGGGACCAAAATTTGAACAACTTTGGTAGAGGACCCATAGATGATACCATATACCAAAATCCAAAGCTCTAGGCCATTTACTTTCAGACCAGAAGATTTTTCAAGTTTTCACTATATGTACATGTATTTAATGAAAATCAATGACCGGGCCCAGGGCTGGGCCAATTTTGACCCTAGGGCCATTATTTGAACAATCTTGATAGAGGTCTACTACACACAATGTTTCATGCAAATATCTAATCTGTAGCCTTTGCCAAATCTGAGAAGAAGATTTTTTTTAGATTTACCTATAGACATATAAGGAAAACCTATGACCCCCAACCCCCCCCCGGGCGCGGGCGCAACTTTTGACACTAGGGACAAAATTTGAACAACTTTGGTAGAGGACCCATAGACATGATACCATATACCAAAAATCAAAGCTCTGGCCCATGTACTTTCAGACAAGAAGATTTTTTAATTTTGTGTTTTTTGAAATCCTTTTCTGGCCCTGTGACCTACATATGCAACAGATCGGAACCATTTGAACAACTTTGAAAGGGGACCACCCAAGGATCATTTCTGTAAAGTTTGGTTGATGTGCAGTCATTGGTTTCAGAGGAGATGTTGTTTATATGAAAAGTTGACTACGCACGACGCACGACGCACGCCGCACGACGACGGACGACGGACACAGGGTGATCACAATAGCTCACCCTGAGCATTGCTCAGGTGAGCTAAAAATAACAACGTAATGTTTTATTAGTGCAAATATAGTATGAATGTAAATTGTTTTTGATTAATTAAAAATAGCTTAATATGTTTTTTTAAATGGTGGCATGCATATCAGGTTAGAGAAATGTTAACAATATATAACTATTAGATCTTGTCACATAAACTTTATAGAGCACTGGGTTATGTTATTAATGTAATACAATATACTTTTTTATTAGTAAAATTTATTTGTTAGCTTGTTTTGATAGCATGAGTGTGTGATTGTTCGTAATAAAAAAATGTACAGAACTCATTTGTGCAATTATTTGTTTTTCCCTCTCCTACTGAACTAAATAAGGGCATATAACTTGTTAAAATTTTACTTTCTGATTTTTGATCTTCAAACATTGAATATTGATTCTTCATGACCAGTAGATGACCCCTATTAATTTTGGGATCAAAGGTCAAGGTTACATTGACATTGAAGGTAAAACATTTTCTAATCAATAACTTTTAGGCTTAGAAACTTCGAACGTGGTATGATAATTGTTCATGACCAGAAGATGAGCCCTATTATTTTTTGGGTCAAGGTCACTTTGACCTTGTAGGTAAAAAATGTTTCTGATCAACAACTAAAGAACTTTTAGGCATAGGAACTTCAAACTTAGTATGATGATTGTTCATGACCAGTAGATGACCCAACTTCTTTTTGGGATCAAAGGTCAAGGTCACATTGACCTTGTAGATAAAAACGGTTTCCGATCAATAACTTAGACCTTTTAGGCACTTCAAACTTGGTATGATGATTGTTCATGACCAGTATATGATTCCGATTGATTTTGCAGTCAAGTGGTCAAGGTCACATTGATATTATAGGTAAAATCGTTTTCTGATCAATAACTAAAGAACCAATCAGCATAGGAACTTCAAACTAGATATGATGATTGTTCATGACCAGTGGATGACCCCTGTTGATTTTGACGTCAAGGGGTCAAAGGTCAATGTCATATTTAAATTGAAGGTAAAAACGGTTTCTGATTAATAACTAAAAAACGCTTATGCCTAGAAACTGATGATTGCTCATAACTAGTTGATGACCCTTATTGATTTTGGTCAATTTTAGGTCAAAACTTTCCTGATCAGTAACCTGACAACTCATTGGCTGTTAGCCCTCAAACTTCATAGGTGCATTGTACTTTGCTAGTAGATGACCCCTATTGATTTTTGGGTCAAGGGGCCAAGGTCATATTGACTTTGTAGGTAAAAATTGTGTCCGATCAATAACTTGACGAGCCATAGGCTGTTGACCCTCAAACTTTGTAGATGCATTGGTCTTGGCAAGTAGATGACCGCTACTGATTTTGTGGTCATTGCTATAATGTCATAGTCATATTGTCCTTGTAGCTAAAAACGATTTCTGATCAATAACTTGACAAACCATGGGCCTTTGGTCCTTGAAACTTCGTCTATGGATTGTTCTTGGCGAATATATGACCCCTTTTTACTTTGGAGTCAAAGGTCAAGGTCACCTTATCCTGGTATGTCAAGACGGTTTCCTATTAATAACTGGACAACCGATTGACTCTTGACCTTCAAATTTCAGATGCATTGCTTATAGTCAAAAGATGACCACAATGGTATTTTGGGGTCAAGGGGACAGAGGTCAAGATCACATTGACCTTATAGGTAAACACGTTTACTGATCAATATTTCAACAACTCATTGGTGAAATTTGTAACTCCCGAAGACAGCGAAAAACATCATTCCTTTTTTATGTGACCTGAATTGTGTTCGGTGCGCCAAAGTAAAGCATTTTTTTTTATTCTATAAGTCGCTTATAATGGGCAAATCTGTATCTAGAGTTACCATGAAGCACAGCAGAACATCCATGCATTCTCATAGAGACTCGTCTGTGAACCTTCAGTCGGAAATAGGTAGGCTTATTGATGAGTCATTGACCGAGAATACCAGCAACATTATATAACACAGCAATTTCTTTCTTTTCAAAGTTTTTTATGGCAGGCAGATCATTGCAGTTGCCACTAAACGTGAAACAAATAACATAATATATAACTATAGTCTTAATTCATGTCTTTGCAACGATGTGCTTGTGTGCTTGTAAGTTAATAATTAGCTACATATCCTCTATATGTTAAATCACTAAAATTAATGACATGGTTGCTAATTAGAAAACTTATAAGTATAGGTGAAACGTTTGAATGAAGGCTCAAGACAACAGTTGCCACTAAATGTGAAACAAACAACATAATATATAATTATACTAATGCATTTCTTTGCAACGATATGCGTGTTAGACAATAATTAGCTACATACCCTCTATATGTTAAATCACTTAAATCAATCATATGAAACATTGCTAATTTTGAGTCTTATAGGAGTCGATTGCCTTTGACAGTTGAGGCATCAAAATTGCAACTGCCTTTCATCCCTGCATGATCGTAAGAGGCGACCAATTGGGTTCGCATGACCAGAGTATCTGCATCTCTTAGCTCCAACAGGTGAGGTTGTTTTGATCCCGGGTTTTTCTTTAAGTTTGTAACTCCTTAGGTAAGCACAAATCATCTTTTCAGTTTGGCGCCATATGACCTAAGTTGTGTCATGGCGCCGTAAAGCCAAACAAAAACAACAACAAAATATGTTAGCACAAAATTCAGCTCAATTTCTGATTCTATAAGTCACTTATAATAGGCAAGACTGTATCGAGAGTTACCATGAAACACAGCAGAACATCCATGCATTCTCATAGAGACTCGTCTGTGAACCTTCAGTCGGAAATAGATAGGCTTATTGATGAGTCATTGACCGAAAATACCAGCAACATTATATAACACAGCAATTTCTTTCTTCTCAAAGTTTTTTATGGCAGGCTGATCATTGTTGTTGCCACTAAATGTGAAACAAATAACAGAATATATAATTATAGCCTTAATTTATGCCTTTGCAACGAAATGCTTGTAAGACAATCATTAGCTGCATATCCGCTATTAATATATGTAAAATCACAAAATCAATGACATGAAACCTTGCTAATTAGAAAACTTATAAGTAAAGGTGAAACGTTTGAATGAAGACTCAAGACGAGCCCGGGGTTCTAAGAATACACGTCATTCTAAAACAGACAACTTTTTGAAAATAAATTTCAGCTTTACAAAGTGTTTGTCTCTCTCAGTACAAGAACATGTTATTTGAAGCTGCTTTTTCGCATGCAAACATTACAGTTCTTAGAAAAAGCTAAATGTCACCAGCTAGGCTAATTCCTAACAAAACAAGAGATTTTCATGCGTACTAGCAAATACTTTTGTGTCCTTTTCTCGATATCAGAATAAAATATATAAGATACCATTGCACTTATCTAACTAGTATTATTTACATAGACCAGACCTTCGGAAGTTTTCCATAAAATAACATGTGATAACAGCATCATATAACATAACAGCAGGTAAATTAACAGTTACTTATAAAGTATGGTGCAAATGAAAACGGTTCCAGTATTTATCGCTCAACGGAAAAAGAATGCGGTTTTTAAATTCAGTGTTGTACGGTGCTCCAATATTCGAGTCAATAGGCCTTTTTTCAACATAAATATTCCCTAAAATTTACAATACAAACACACAATTTTGTATGGAACTTGAATTTATGACTAACCATAATGTATACACAAGCTCGTAGGGTCATAAAACAAATACATTGTTGTTTTAGCACATGTTTTTGTGACAAGTACGAGTCATGTTGAGGTAGACACGATCTTTTGTAAACACTATTTCTTCGAAGTATGTAATTTTTGTGAATTGACTTTGTGTTGTGCTAGATTAACGATAAATTGTTTCAAAAATTCGATGGAGTACTTAAACAATTGAAAAAATTTTGCAATGTCCAGCAGTAAGATATTTTGTAAGCTATTACCTGCAATTTGGTTATCCCGCCATTAATATTTTGTCCAGAAATATACGATGTCTCGGTCAGAAGTATGATATTTTGACGTTGCGCCGAAAAGTTGTGGTAAACGCCCTATCCCCGTGAATTAGATGATAAAAAAAATGAAAAAAATGATATATACCTGCTATTATTTTCTCATAATAAAGAAAAGGCACAATATTGCCTCAAATAATCATTCGCAAAGAGTCTCTTAACCCTTTTTTCTAAAGAAAGTGTAGGGAAATATTTAGTGTTGTGAAATCTTTCGATAATTTAGTAGTGTTCGTTTACAATACGCATGCGCTGTAAAATTGGAGTAAATCAATATGGCGGAAAATAGCCCCGGATAATATTTTCTCAAAATTTGAAGAAATTGCGGTAAGTATCTTGAAACGTTTGTGACTAATAAGTAAATTATTTTTTACTTAAATGAAATGTTAACATAACAAGTCAAAAACAATTAACTAGCTTAGGTAAATTACCAATGTTTTATCAATTGAAAACGAAAGTCTGAAGTGCTTACAATCTCCAAGGAAACAGTAAACAGTAAACAGTTGGATTTAGGGGAATTTCCGCGTGAGGCTAATAATCTTAAATATCAACACACATTAATTAGACTTTTATTAAGCTCTTCCTTAAATGAATTTATAATATTGATTAATAATTGCAACAGCTAGTCCTCAAGGCCGTCGTCGATGGTCCGGCCGGTCCGGCCCTGGCCGGACCAATATTTTGGCCAAAAATGAGTTTTTAAAAAAAAGGAAAAAAACACGCATCGCTGATTAGCAATTAGACACTTAACTGGCCCCTTATGCAATGCGCGGTAACATACAAACATGACGCGAAGAAACAACTGGACACTGTTAATTGACCAGGTATATGTAAGGGTCCTACGAAGTCAAGACATCGACGTGGCTTCGGACAGTTCACCGTATTATAGGAGTAATCCTGAATACACACATATACAATTCTTTAAATTAATTACATCTGTTCACATACAAGTATCTTAATATGAATAGTTTAAGATAGTTAAAATACCATGATGTGTGACACAATTCTATCGGAACCAAATCAACCAAAACGAACATTTGGTGAGTACATTTTTTCGTCAATGTTATATATATTATGATATAAAAAAAAAACAACAATGAGATTTGCAATATGCATTATGAATATCTTAAACTAGTATGCCTGAATTCTCCGAGAACTTGATAACATTTTATTTTATTTGTGGAAAATGGCCGTTTTCACTGAAAAGCCTCCTGTTACAAGTTCAAAACTGCTATGAAACTATGAAAAATGCTTCAATACTAATCAAACTTGGCACAAATGTTGACTGGACCATTGCCTTTGTAACGACATGCTCAGTCTTAAATTTCCTGTTACCATGGCAACGAGGGGGCATCTCAAAATTGCCCAAAAAATCACTATTTTGCCTCGATTGTTTCCATCAAAATTTATTTCAAAGTACTGCAACTTCTCAAGGGATTGAGATAGAGTCAAAGGCTTTTCAGCGTTGGTTACACGTTACATTGTGATCGACCTGGGGTCATTTTTAGCCTCTCAAAAGTCCAAAGTTTTCTTGGCGATGAGGGGGACTCCGCCCCCCCTTCAAACCCCCTTAACAGAAGGGGGCACATCCCCCCCTTGTGGCAACCCCTGATGTATCTTTTGGATGGGGGGCGGCGCCGAAAAAGTGCTCAATTTTTTTTAGCAACATTTCTCAAACGAAAACATGTGTTTGGGGCCCAAATAGGACATTTTTTCACTCTTTGAGGCCTAAAAAAAGGGGGGGGGGTCGAAAGTGCGTTGTTTCGCGTATATATGGGGTAAAGGGTTAAACAAAAAATAATGAAAAACTTTGAAATCACCTAAAAACTAGTTTTTCCATGTTAACATGTGGTCTTTCACCTAATTTTGGTGAAAAATTGTTGTTTTGTAACTTTTATAATTTTTTTAGTTAACCCTTTCCCCATGAGCATATTGTGGAAAATGGCCGTTTTCACTGAAAAGCCTCCTGTTACAAGTTCAAACTGCTATGAAACTATGAAAAATGCTTCAATACTAATCAAACTTGGCACAAATGTTGACTGGACCATTGCCTTTGTAACGACATGCTCAGTCTTAAATTTCCTGTTACCATGGCAACGAGGGGGCATCTCAAAATTGCCCAAAATCACTATTTTGCCTCGATTTTTTCCATCAAATTTATTTCAAAGTGCTGCAACTTCTCAAGGGATTGAGATAGAGTCAAAGGCTTTTCAGCGTTGGTTACACGTTACATTATGATCGACCTGGGGTCATTTTTAGCCTCTCACAAGTCCAAAATTTTCTTGGCGATGAGGGGGACTCCGCCCCCCTTCAAACCCCCCTAACAGAAGGGGGCACATCCCCCTTCTGGCAACCCCCTGATGTATCTTTTGGATGGGGGGCGGCGCCGAAAAAGTGCTCAATTTTTTTAGCAACATTTCTCAAACGAAAACATGTGTTTGGGGCCCAAATAGGACATTTTTTCACTCTTTGAGGCCTAAAAAGGGGGGGGGGTCGAAAGTGCGTTGTTTCGCGTATATATGGGGTAAAGGGTTAACAAAAAATAATGAAAAACTTTGAAATCACCTAAAAACTAGTTTTTCCATGTTAACATGTGGTCTTTCACCTAATTTTGGTGAAAAATTGTTGTTTTGTAACATTTATAATTTTTTTAGTTAACCCTTTCCCCCATGAGCATATTGTGGAAAATGGCCGTTTTCACTGAAAAGCCTCCTGTTACAAGTTCAAAATGCTATGAAACTATGAAAAATGCTTCAATACTAATCAAACTTGGCACAAATGTTGACTGGACCATTGCCTTTGTAACGACATGCTCAGTCTTAAATTTCCTGTTACCATGGCAACGAGGGGGCATCTCAAAATTGCCCAAAATCACTATTTTGCCTCGATTTTTTCCATCAAATTTATTTCAAAGTGCTGCAACTTCTCAAGGGATTGAGATAGAGTCAAAGGCTTTTCAGCGTTGGTTACACGTTACATTATGATCGACCTGGGGTCATTTTTAGCCTCTCACAAGTCCAAAATTTTCTTGGCGATGAGGGGGACTCCGCCCCCCTTCAAACCCCCCTAACAGAAGGGGGCACATCCCCCTTCTGGCAACCCCCTGATGTATCTTTTGGATGGGGGGCGGCGCCGAAAAAGTGCTCAATTTTTTTAGCAACATTTCTCAAACGAAAACATGTGTTTGGGGCCCAAATAGGACATTTTTTCACTCTTTGAGGCCTAAAAAAGGGGGGGGGGGTCGAAAGTGCGTTGTTTCGCGTATATATGGGGTAAAGGGTTAACAAAAAATAATGAAAAACTTTGAAATCACCTAAAAACTAGTTTTTCCATGTTAACATGTGGTCTTTCACCTAATTTTGGTGAAAAATTGTTGTTTTGTAACATTTATAATTTTTTTAGTTAACCCTTTCCCCCATGAGCATATTGTGGAAAATGGCCGTTTTCACTGAAAAGCCTCCTGTTACAAGTTCAAACTGCTATGAAACTATGAAAAATGCTTCAATACTAATCAAACTTGGCACAAATGTTGACTGGACCATTGCCTTTGTAACGACATGCTCAGTCTTAAATTTCCTGTTACCATGGCAACGAGGGGGCATCTCAAAATTGCCCAAAATCACTATTTTGCCTCGATTTTTTCCATCAAAATTTATTTCAAAGTGCTGCAACTTCTCAAGGGATTGAGATAGAGTCAAAGGCTTTTCAGCGTTGGTTACACGTTACATTATGATCGACCTGGGGTCATTTTTAGCCTCTCACAAGTCCAAAATTTTCTTGGCGATGAGGGGGACTCCGCCCCCCTTCAAACCCCCCTAACAGAAGGGGGCACATCCCCCTTCTGGCAACCCCCTGATGTATCTTTTGGATGGGGGGCGGCGCCGAAAAAGTGCTCAATTTTTTTAGCAACATTTCTCAAACAAAAAACATGTGTTTGGGGCCCAAATAGGACATTTTTTCACTCTTTGAGGCCTAAAAAAAGGGGGGGGGGTCGAAAGTGCGTTGTTTCGCGTATATATGGGGTAAAGGGTTAACAAAAAATAATGAAAAACTTTGAAATCACCTAAAAACTAGTTTTTCCATGTTAACATGTGGTCTTTCACCTAATTTTGGTGAAAAATTGTTGTTTTGTAACATTTTTAATTTTTTTTAGTTAACCCTTTCCCCCATGAGCATATTGTGAAAAATGGCCGTTTTCACTGAAAAGCCTCCTGTTACAAGTTCAAACTGCTATGAAACTATGAAAAATGCTGCAATACTAATCAAACTTGGCACAAATGTTGACTGGACCATCAATTGCCTTTGTAACGACATGCTCAGTCTTAAATTTCCTGTTACCATGGCAACGAGGGGACATCTCAAAATTGCCAAAAATCACTATTTTGCCTCGATTTTTTCCATCAAAATTTATTTCAAAGTGCTGCAACTTCTCAAGGGATTGAGATAGAGTCAAAGGCTTTTCAGCGTTGGTTACACGTTACATTATGATCGACCTGGGGTCATTTTTAGCCTCTCACAAGTCCAAAATTTTCTTGGCGATGAGGGGGACTCCGCCCCCCTTCAAACCCCCCTAACAGAAGGGGGCACATCCCCCTTCTGGCAACCCCCTGATGTATCTTTTGGATGGGGGGCGGCGCCGAAAAAGTGCTCAATTTTTTTAGCAACATTTCTCAAACGAAAACATGTGTTTGGGGCCCAAATAGGACATTTTTTCACTCTTTGAGGCCTAAAAAGGGGGGGGGGGTCGAAAGTGCGTTGTTTCGCGTATATATGGGGTAAAGGGTTAACAAAAAATAATGAAAAACTTTGAAATCACCTAAAAACTAGTTTTTCCATGTTAACATGTGGTCTTTCACCTAATTTTGGTGAAAAATTGTTGTTTTGTAACATTTATAATTTTTTTTGGTTAACCCTTTCCCCCATGAGCATATTGTGGAAAATGGCCGTTTTCACTGAAAAGCCTCCTGTTACAAGTTCAAAATGCTATGAAACTATGAAAAATGCTTCAATACTAATCAAACTTGGCACAAATGTTGACTGGACCATTGCCTTTGTAACGACATGCTCAGTCTTAAATTTCCTGTTACCATGGCAACGAGGGGGCATCTCAAAATTGCCCAAAATCACTATTTTGCCTCGATTTTTTCCATCAAAATTTATTTCAAAGTGCTGCAACTTCTCAAGGGATTGAGATAGAGTCAAAGGCTTTTCAGCGTTGGTTACACGTTACATTATGATCGACCTGGGGTCATTTTTAGCCTCTCACAAGTCCAAAATTTTCTTGGCGATGAGGGGGACTCCGCCCCCCTTCAAACCCCCCTAACAGAAGGGGGCACACATCCCCCTTCTGGCAACCCCCTGATGTATCTTTTGGATGGGGGGCGGCGCCGAAAAAGTGCTCAATTTTTTTAGCAACATTTCTCAAACGAAAACATGTGTTTGGGGCCCAAATAGGACATTTTTTCACTCTTTGAGGCCTAAAAAGGGGGGGGGGGGGGGGTCGAAAGTGCGTTGTTTCGCGTATATATGGGGTAAAGGGTTAACAAAAAATAATGAAAAACTTTGAAATCACCTAAAAACTAGTTTTTCCATGTTAATATGTGGTCTTTCACCTAATTTTGAAA